CAAAAAATTGTAATTACTTTTTGGATTTGTGACACATGGAATATTTGGAACCATATAATTATTTATTGATTTTATTACATGTATTTGAATTAAGTTGTGAAATTTGAAATTTGGTAGGAATTCAATATGTTTAGGATTTTAATAATTGTATGAAAAATAGAAGTCTACATGGTTGTAATTCTTTTGGATAAGTTTCAAACCCTATGGCATGGGGCTATAAGTTTCTACGAGTTAGAAATTATTTTACAAAAATAAGAATGTGAGGGTGGAAGAAAAAATACTAGGGGACTTCAAAGGATAATGTAAGAATCTAAGAATAATTAATTGTGAGATAATGAAAGAATACGAAGATTTAAAAGAGAAAATAAAAATTTAGTGTGAGTTTGAAAAAATAATTTATGATTAGTGATAAACTTTACAAATTTTAATAATTAAATTTATTAATTTTATATAAATTTTAATTATTTTTAAAGAGTACCACCGTATTATAATTTTTCCCAATTTAAATACATAAAATTTTGTGCCTATTACTGCCACTTTCTACCAATTAATCATACGGGAAGTGTACCACCAACAACGAACTATGATGCACTCTTTCGTTTAACAACAATGATTGTGATTCTCATTTTTTAGAAATTCTCGTAATTTTTTTTGAATTTTTATTATTGATGGTGTGATTGTGAGGGTTTTCAAAAAAAATGAAGGTCTTAAGTATTTTTCTTCATTTAATTATTTTATTTTATACTTTTGTTGCTTTGGAACTGACTCCTTTTTTTCCTTTTTTCTTTTTTTTTAAGGTAGAATGTTAGTATGTTAATAAGTCAATTTATAATTTAAAGGGTTGTTACTGATCATTCAACTCGAACATCAAACCTTCTACCTATCGCACCCTAAGGCACGATTACATACCACTTAACCACAAGGGTCCTTCCGTTACACTAACTCAAATCATCTATTTTAAGTTAGTAACTAATTCAAAAGGGAAACTTTTGTTTAATTTTTGTTAATGCTTAAAAGCAAGTTTAGCAAATGAGTACTTTTCTAATTCTACTTTTTTCTTTTTGTTTTTATATTTGGATGGAATGCTTATTATGCAATCCAACTTCTAAAACTACTTAGATTCTCTAAATGAATAAGGAATGAAAAAGAAACTATTAAATGTTTTGGGAAGTTAGTTAAAAGTTAATTTTTAAATTTTTTTTTTGTTGACCTTTTTGTATTTTAATGGATACATAATGTGAGAAGTGATGTAACTCAAAATGAATTAAAAGTCAAAAATTGACTTTTAACCAGCTTTCCAAACGAGCTCTTTGTAGAGAGCCCATGTTGTGAATATTGAATTAGCAAAAGGATATTAAGAATTTAACTCCATGTGCTTTATTTTATGTATAATTTATTTTATTAAAATTTAAAAATGAGCATATAACTTTTTATATCTTTCATATATTTTATATTTACTATTAAATTAAATGGAATATTTAACGGTATATTTTAGTTTACAAATCACGTAAGAGTTATGTGACCATTTCCAAATATTAAAGAGACAAACTACTCATAACCCAAACCATAAACCACAAAAGAGTAGAGTGGAATTTGTCTCTTTTTTTTTCTTTTTTGATACCCAGAACACTTTCAAGGCAGAATCCTTAAGATCCACCTTTATAAGTCAAATTGGAGGAAGCTAGCCGATTCACCTAAATCGTCGGATTTCCACTTGAATAGTAAAAAATTCAAACCCTAATCAATAAGAAGAGAAACATACTCCCTTACCAACTAAGATGCCTTAGCTGGGGAATTTGCCCGTGAATCTAAACCAGTATTGGCCCGAATCTGAAACCTAGCACCTAGTACTTCTATGATCTAACCTGGGTATTAGCGATGGCAACTAGCAGGTTTCTTATTCCCTCTTCTTTTTTATATATAATTATAAACAGTTCAGCTCTCAATTTTTACCCTTTTTTATCTTCAATTCCTAAATTGAACTATAATTAATAAATTTTGATTACTTGTAAGACTATTTCCAATCTAAACTAATCTTTTATCAAATTTAAATTTGATAAAAGTTTGGTAAAAATAACATTTCAACTCTTTCACCAAATTAGTATCAAATGAATGGAATTATATATTTTTCATCAAATCAATGAAGCGTTTAAACTTTCATCAAATTTCGTAGGTGACTGTTAGTGGCAGGAATTACCAAACCCAGCTCTCCCAATCTCTCTTCCCATCGGGTGGACGACTGGATTGGGAAAGATTTGATGATAATTTAAACTAGGTCGGACAATTGGCCATATTTAATGAAACGATTGGAACACATCATATTAGATTAAAATTTTACTCAAATTTAAGTAAGCGTTGAGGATACTCTAATTAGAACTAAATTGTCTCTTAAAAATCAAATCATCTTGTTTGAGATTATCTAAATAAGTATACTTTTTGATTTTTTACAAAAATATGTACAGAAAAATAGTGAAGTGATGTGACTCAAATAAGTGCATTTATCTAAATAAGTGCACTTATGTAAAGGATACCAAATAATTTTATTTACACTATTAGAACATCTCCAATCGTTCATCAAATCTTTTGTCAAATTTGAGTAAAAATTTGATGAAAAGTTTGATTAGATATGATGTATTCTAGTCATTTTCATCAATTTTGCCGATCATCTGGCTGATCGTCCTACCGGTCGTCTAGCATAGAATAAATTTTGATCAAAATCCAGTCGTCTACTTAGTTGTCTACTCGGTCATCCACTAACAATCAATTTTGAAATTTGATGAAAAAGCCAAATGCTCTCTCGATTTGATGAAAAATCTATTGTTTTCTTCATTTGATATCACTTTGATGATAGAATTTGAGCACCTTTTTCATTAAATTTTTATCAAATTTAAATTTGATAAAAAAAATATGAGTAATCGTTGGAGATAGCTTTACTCCTAACATTATCTAATCAAGAGCTTGTCTTTGATTATGAAAGCTATTATCAGAGCTTAAAATATAATTCTTAGATAGGAAAAAGAAAAAAAAAAAAGAAAAGAAAAAGTTCATATTTAAAGAAAAGTATTTTTGTACAAAGAGTAGTTTTTGTCACCAATAATATTTCATGTGTTTTGTCAATATATTAACAAGTAAAATAATATTTAAATTTTAATCATTCTAACATTTTTAGCAAATGAGTTAATTAAACTAATGTTTCTCAAAATATCAGATTTGTTTCCCTTTACTTTAAGTACTATAACGGATGAAAGATATTTTCAAAATTTTAATGAAACTTCAAAAAATAAAAAACCAAATGCATATGAAGTTGTAATTTTTGTTACATTTGGTCTTCAAAATATACGTTTTATTTTATTTTTATCCTTAAAATAAGCACTCTCCAATCTGTTAAGAGAAAATTAGTGAAATATCTCTTTTAAACTTTGTGTAGTAAGAGATGTTCAAAATATTTTTTTTTATTAACTAAGTTCCCTCAATGAAATTTTTTTGTGTCAAGGCTGAAATTTTTTTGAGTCGAACACAAATTTCTTTGAGTCAAATTTTTTATGTGAAAATGTTGAGGGACATCAACTATTATGAAAATGTTGTATATCATTTATCTTATAAAATCTTAATATTAGGGACCTTAAAAAAAGATTCATCTTTTAATTTTATTATAATCATTATAGATAAATTACAGTAACCTCCTCTAAAGTTTAGAAAAAATATAATTAGCCTCACACATTTGATATAATTACACTGACTTTTTTCAAAATTTTAATTCAAATAACACTTAAGTGTTTTTTCATTAGTAATTCGTTAGTTGTATAAATAAAAAATGATATTATAATTTCTTTCCTACTAAAATGTATATTCATTTTAATGAGATGAGCTAAATTAATTGGGTAAAATAGCTAGACAAAATTTTATATCATACACATCAATTCAACTATTTTTTCTCTTAGAACCATCTATTCAATTATTTAAAAGAAAAATTCACAAATCATTCCAAACACAATTTTTTTTTTTCATTGGCCTTGTTTGGCGATTTGGATTTTGGCTAAAATAGCCAATGAAGATAAAAATAACTAAAATAATCATAAGATAAAATATCACATTCTATATATCAATCAATCAATGCTTCTTTCATAATTAGCTATTCAACTACAAAACAGTCCACAAATTATTTCAAATACAATTTTTTTTCCATCTCATAAAATAGTTAAAAAGTCTACTAAAATAGTAAAATCTCAAACCACGCTAAACTAACCAAATAGTCAATTAAAATAGCCACCATCCCAAACAGCAAACGATGGCTAAAATGAAATCATATCAAAAGTATAAAATTAAGGGGGAATTACACTGAGATGGTGTCAGTGTAAAATATTTACAAACAAGTAACAAATATTATAAATATTAATAATTAAAATTATAAATTTATTCATTTTTTTGTATTTTAGTTTGGGAAAATTAGTGAAACATCCATCTTTAATTTTGTGTAGTAGAAGAGGTTTAAGATATATTTTTTTTATTAGCTAAGGTCCTTCAACATTTTCACAAAGAAAATTTGACTCAGAAAAATTTTACTCGACTCAGAGAAATTTCACCTAACTTAAAGAAATTTGAACTCCAACTCAAAGAAATTTTGAAATTTCTACGTGAAATCAAAGAAATTTCACATGATTCAGAGAAATTCCAACCCCGATCGAGAGAAAAATTTCTTTGGTACGAATTTCTCTATGAAAATTAAAATTTCTTTGAGTTGGAGCGAAATTTAAGTTCGAAAAAATTTCTTTAAGTCAAATTTTCTATGTAGAAATGTTGAGGAGCTTTAATTGCTATAAAAATATTATATATCTTTTATCTTATAAAATCTTAATATCAAGAATCTTAAAAAAAAATTCCATTTTAGTTTTTGCTGCTCCACTTATATGTAATTGCCCTAAAATTAATTGTATTTTTCTCAAAAAAAAAAAAAAAAAAAAAGGGCCCTAAATAAGAGGGGTTTTGAAGCCAAGTAACAGCTTTTGGGTCTCACCCCTAAGTCTCTTCTTCTTCTTCTTCTTCTTCAAACTCAATTACCCAGATCAGGTACTTCATTGTCTACAACTCTACTCGATTTTTTCTATCAAAGAAAACATCAATTTACACACACTATCTCTACGTGCGCTGCTTTTTCATCTGCAAGTTGGATTCTTTTGAGCTACATTACGTCTATTTTCTTTGTACTCGGGTTTTGACTTTCGTATACTGTATTTTATAGGCCCTGTTTTTCTGGGTCGTGATCAGAATTTATGGTTGTTTTGTATGATTGATTTAGTTGGGTGATTGTTAGTTGACTTTTCTAGGGTTTTACCCCCTTGTGATCATCGTTCTGGAGGGGAGCTGAGAGTAATGGCGAATCGGAATTTGGAGAAGTTGGCATCGATCGATGCCCAATTGAGGCTTTTGGTTCCTGGGAAAGTTTCTGAGGATGACAAGCTTGTGGAGTATGATGCTCTGTTATTGGATGGGTTTCTTGATATCCTTCAGGACTTGCATGGGGAGGCTCTTAAGGAGACGGTATGATTTTGATTTTGATTTTTGAAGCTTGATTTTTAACAGATTCAATATATGTTTATGAATTTATGTATGTTTACTACAAGGTGTGTATAACGCCATGAGTGTGCTATGAAAATCAATTTGTTGTTCTTTTCTGGATTTGACAATAAAAAATTGTAGATGTAGATAAAAGGGGAAGGGAAGTGTTTTAATTTGAAATTTAAAATAAAGAGTGAGGTGATTGCAGGACAATTTAGGAATGAAATAGTTGTGACGGGTTCGTTATTTTCAATTGAATATGATTTGAATAATATGACTTTTGTGATTTTGGGAAAGCGGAGTTTGGCAGATTGGTTGTTTTTTACACTAACCCAAATAGTGATTTTGTTTGAAGTTGAAGAATTATGAAGACATTGTTAGACGATCTCCAACAATGACTCAAATTTTTTTGTCAAATTTGAGTCAACCCTTACTCAGATTTCCCATACTCAAGTATTTACTTCAATTTGAGTAACAACTTTATTTGATAGGAAGCACTCCAATGGAAAAACTCATATTTAAGCATAAATTTGAGTAAAACTTCAGTAATGGTCGAGTGGTTAATTTGAAAGCTACAATAAGTCCTATGAATTTGAGTAAACATTTGAGTCACCGTTGATTTAGGTAAAAAAAAAGAAAAAAAGAGGGTATAACTCAATTTGATATGTTTGAGTGGGAGTGGAGAGTATTTTGAGTGATTTTTACCCTAATTTAAATTTGATATAGGTTTGAGTCAAGGGTTGGATATAGCCTTAGATATGAAGCACTTCCCACTTGCAACAAATTTTTAATCAGATTTTTTGAAAATATTAACATCACATCACAAAACGCAAACTGGAGTGGTGGACTTGAGCGTCATATTGGTAAATAAATGTGTAAAATGCAATTTGGTATGTGTTTGAATCAAAGAGCGGAGAGGGATTACGAGTGCTTTTTACTCAATTTTCAATTTGATTCAAGATTTGAGGAAGGACTGAGATGCCCTTATGTATTGGTAAGTAGACCACTAATGACCCATCACTAAAGGTAAATTGTTTGTTATGTTTTATGTGTAGGTTCAAGAGTGCTATGAACTTTCTGCCGAGTATGAAGGAAAACATGACGCCAAGAAGCTGGAAGATCTTGGAAACGTTCTGACGAGTTTGGATCCGGGGGACTCTATTGTCATTGCTAAGTCATTCGCTCACATGCTTAACTTGGCCAACCTGGCTGAGGAGGTTCAGATTGCTTGTCATCGACGGATCAAGTTGAAAAAAGGGGATTTTGCTGATGAGAATTGTGCAACAACTGAATCGGACATTGAAGAAACTCTTAAGAGACTTGTGGTGGAAATGAAGAAGTCTCCTGAAGAAGTTTTTGATGCGCTGAAAAATCAAACTGTGGATCTGGTCTTTACTGCTCACCCTACCCAATCTGTCCGCAGATCTTTGCTTCAGAAGCACGGAAGGTGTGCTATTAACTACTGTACATTTTGATTTGTGTTGTCACAGAAAGCTTACTACAAATATGTTCTTCATCTTATAATCTTAGTTCTGTGAAATCCTTTGATATTTGCTTAACATCTTCGTCCATTGTTTTCCCCATTCAGGATACGGGATTGCTTAGCCCAGTTGTATGCAAAAGACATTACTCCTGATGATAAGCAAGAACTTGATGAAGCTTTACAAAGGGAGGTAAGTCGGAAGTGTCACTTCTTAATGTATTATAAACCATTGTCATTTGATTACCATGTCAAAAATTATGGAGTCCTATGTTATTGATTTGTTTCTTTTGCATGAGGCCATATGTTTTGGTATTTCATAGTTTAATTCTATCCTGTTGCCCTAATACTATGTATTTGTATAGTTGATGTGTTGCATCTCTCTGTATTGTATCATAACTCTTTCAGATCATAGTGAAACTCGACAACTGTGACGGAGCCCTTTTCTGGATTGTACCATGTAAAACTTTATGTTCTTATGTGTTTGATTTAGATTCTTGTTTATGTAACCCTGGTTAAGTGTATTAATTCCTAACAACATGCATATTACTCCCTAACACGGAGAAAACACTGGTCCCAAATATGTTACCCTTAAGTTTTAGTGGAACTGTAATTGTTAAATGCATATTTTCTTAAGCTCTCATAGTATACTAGATGTAATATAAAAGTGCATGTTATTCTCTAACAAGGATGGTTATGAAGAAGCTGATAAAACCTATATATTTTACCTTTGGGTTTTGGTAGAAGTGATGTTGTGTGACACGGCACTCTTTCTTCTTTTTTTTTTTTGGTTCCTAACTGGTTTAAAGTTTTAATTGTTTTATTCAGCTGGTAATAAAAAGTTTAACTAAAAGAAATTTGTTTTTTCATGCAGATTCAAGCCGCCTTCCGTACCGATGAAATCCGGAGGGACACCTCCAACTCCACAAGATGAGATGAGGGCAGGAATGAGCTACTTCCATGAAACAATCTGGAAGGGCGTTCCTAAATTTTTACGGCGTGTGGACACAGCCCTTAAGAACATAGGGATAAATGAGCGTGTTCCTTACAATGCTCCCCTTATTCAATTCTCTTCTTGGATGGGTGGTGATCGAGATGGTATGATCTTTTTCCATATCCAACTTCTTATTTGTATTAAAATAAAAGTGTGCAACAGCAGTTCAAGAACAGAGGGAACAAGCACGGACATTGCAACTGCAAATGTTGATTTTCTTAACAAATTGTGAAGTGAGACAGGCATTTCAAATCAATATTTCACTAGTTAGGAATACTTCCCAGTTTTCATTTTATTGAGGTGGTTTTGTTAGTTAGGGCAGTATTTTTTTTTTTTTTTTATTTTTTAAATATTATATAACACTCTCTCCCTCAATTATTGCTTAACATTTGTTTGGCAACAAATGTAGGAAATCCAAGGGTTACTCCTGAGGTCACACGGGATGTCTGCTTATTAGCTCAGATGATGGCTGCTAACTTGTACTATTCCCAGATTGAGGATCTCATGTTTGAGGTTTCAATTTCTACACTCCATACTTTCTTTTTATTTTGTAATTTTTACTGCTATTCTAATTTCTAACTCATTTGTTTTTTCTTGCCAGTTGTCTATGTGGCGTTGCAGTGATGAACTTCGTGTTCAAGCTGATGAGCTACACAAATCCTCAAAGAGAGATGCAAAACACTACATTGGTAATTAGATTAGAGGTTTTAATTTAGCTATTTTTTCTTTCCAAGACAGAATTGACTATTAGAACTAGAGTTCGTGAGAAACTACGGAGGTGTATTTTTATTTGTTATTGGTGGCGTTTGATTGTTGTCCTTCATTCCTGATGCAGAGTTTTGGAAGCAAGTACCTCCAAATGAACCATATCGTGTTATCCTTGGTGATGTGAGAGATAAGCTGTATCAAACACGTGAACGCTCTCGCCATATGTTAGCCCATGGCATCTCTGACATTCCAGAGGAGGAAACTTTTACCAACACTGAGCAGGTATTTCCATTTTTCTCAACTTAAAGAGAATTCTTATCATAGGTCCACCAAAACCTATTTCCACTGTTTCAATGCAATTTCATCCTTGTTTTTGTTTTTTGGCTCAACGGTGTACTATTTTGAGTTGGCAAGTGCATCCGCTTCTGCCTAGGGTTTTGTTGTGTTTCTCATGTATTTGGATTGGATATTGATTAGGTTTATAATCCCTTTGGTTAGCAGTATCAAATGCAATGAAAATTTATAATTACTCTCACCATCTCTGAGTCTAATTGATTTAATGCTAACTAGACATTGAATTTTCATGCAGTTCTTGGAACCTCTTGAACTCTGCTACAGATCGCTATGTGCTTGTGGTGACCGGGCAATTGCTGATGGAAGCCTTCTTGATTTCTTAAGGCAAGTTTCTACCTTTGGTCTCTCTCTTGTGAGACTTGATATCAGACAAGAATCGGACCGGCACACTGATGTGATGGATGCTATCACCAAGCATTTGGAAATCGGTTCCTATCGAGAATGGTCCGAAGAACGCCGGCAAGAATGGCTTTTGTCTGAACTCAGCGGGAAGCGCCCACTCTTCGGTCCAGATCTTCCGAAAACCGAAGAAATTGCCGATGTCTTGGATACATTTGGGGTCTTAGCGGAGCTTCCATCAGATTGCTTTGGAGCTTATATCATCTCAATGGCCACTTCACCGTCCGATGTACTTGCGGTTGAGCTTCTGCAGCGCGAGTGTCATGTGAAGCAACCATTAAGAGTCGTTCCATTGTTTGAGAAACTTGATGATTTGCAGGCAGCTCCGGCAGCTGTTGCTCGCCTTTTCTCGATTGAATGGTATAGAAACCGGATTGATGGAAAGCAAGAGGTGATGATCGGGTACTCAGATTCTGGTAAAGATGCCGGACGATTCTCCGCAGCCTGGCAATTGTACAAGGCTCAAGAGGAGCTTATAAAAGTTGCCAAGCAATTTGGTGTGAAGTTAACCATGTTCCATGGTCGAGGTGGGACTGTTGGAAGAGGAGGCGGCCCCACCCATCTGGCTATACTGTCTCAACCCCCGGACACAATTCATGGGTCGCTCCGTGTTACAGTTCAGGGCGAAGTTATTGAGCAATTGTTTGGGGAGGAGCACTTGTGTTTTAGGACACTCCAGCGTTTCACGGCTGCTACGCTTGAGCATGGGATGCACCCCCCGGTCTCGCCGAAACCAGAATGGCGTGTGTTGATGGACGAAATTGGTGTTGTTGCTACGGAGAAGTACCGTTCGATAGTTTTTAAAGAACCTCGATTTGTTGAGTATTTCCGCCTCGTAAGTATTCTAAGAAAGGCCATTCATTTTGTTTTCAATCTCAATTTATTGTATAATAATCTTTATTATGCTTATGATTGTAGGCCACACCCGAGTTGGAGTATGGTCGAATGAACATTGGTAGCCGACCATCGAAACGAAAGCCAAGCGGAGGAATCGAATCACTCCGTGCAATTCCTTGGATCTTTGCATGGACTCAAACTAGGTTTCATCTCCCAGTATGGCTAGGATTTGGAGCAGCGTTCAAATACGCCATCAAGAAGGACATTAAGAATCTCTATATGCTGCAAGAAATGTACAAAGCATGGCCTTTCTTTAGGGTTACCATTGATTTAGTTGAAATGGTGTTTGCCAAGGGAGACCCTGGTATTGCCGCTTTGTATGACAAGCTCCTCGTTTCGGAAGATTTGTGGTCATTTGGCAAGTGTCTGAGGGCTAACTATGAAGAAACAAAGGGACTTCTGCTCCAGGTAAATTTGCTGCTATAAGATACAGTATTTTCTGAGAAAAACTCAAGTTATAGCTAGGCTGTAAACCAACCAAGTTGAGCTGAGTAGTTGGTTGTTTGACTTGTTTACCTAACAAGCCGGTCTCAAATGACTTTTTAATGATCCAAACACAAGTCAAGCTCTGTGTAGCTTGATTTTTTTTACAGCCCTAGTTATATACCTCAGTTTTGTTGCATTTGACTGCTGAAAATTTTGCAAAAATGTTAACTCCTTGATTTTCCGATACCACACATACCACATTTCCTTCCTGCTGATATGATTGTTAAATTTACACTTAACGATTTCTTTTTGTTTTTTTTTGGTAGATTGCCGGACATAAGGATCTACTGGAAGGCAACCTCCACTTGAAGCAACGTCTGCGCCTGCGTGATTCCTACATCACTACTCTCAACGTGTTGCAAGCATACACGCTGAAGCGCATTCGTGACTCTAACTACCACGTCAAGTTGCGGCCCCACATCTCAAAGGAGTACGTAGAATCAAGCAAGTCTGCTGCTGAACTTGTGAATTTGAATCCCACAAGCGAGTATGCTCCCGGTTTGGAGGACACCCTTATCTTAACCATGAAGGGCATTGCTGCCGGGATGCAAAACACTGGTTAGAAAAACGTGGTTCCTGTTTTCTGTTTTATTTTTACCGTGTAGATTGTGCCCGGCAACGTAACTCCGGTGTCGGAGAAACTATGTTTTATAAGCCCCGGGTGGGGTTGAATTTGAGCCATTTTGTAACTGGATAAGGCATGTCATAACAATGTTTGAGCTTGACAGAGGACTCTGTTTTTCCAAGGTTATTTTGTGCACCCTGTTTGGCATTGAAATATAGTGGCAATACCTAAATGGCACGGGGTTTGAGTTATGGAATACTTTCTTATAAAAATAAAATTGTGTAGGTCTTGTTTTCTTTATACGCTTTTTTTCGATGATCTTGTGGATTAGATTGTTATTTTTATTACAATGTGCAAGCACAAGTTTATACCCAAAAAAATAATAATAATTTTGGACTTTCAAGCCATGAATTAAATTTAATTTATGAGATGAGAAGAATAATTGTGTTTGGATCTAGATTTAAAATAAAATACCAAAATAAAAAGACAAAAGTGCTCCAAAAAATGAGTTTATTTTTCTAAAGCATTTTAAAAGTACATGGAACCCGCCTTTGCTTGAGAATAGTGCTCCAAACTGATTAAAAATCAAACCAAGGAGTATAATTTTCTAACAAAAAAACGTATATAGAAAAAGAGATTTATATATAAGAAGGAACACTAATGGTTAAATTTATTCCGTCTTGATTGTGTCAATTGTCAATTATATCACGTAAGACATTTCTTATGACGATTTTATTTATCCAATTTTAATTCTTAAACTTTTAAAAAATAAAAAGTGAAAATTTTATTTTACCCCTCAAATTTTGCCTCAATGATCAATTGGCCATCTACTGTCACATTTAAATGAAAATTTTCCTAGACTTTAAATAATTTCAATGTTATTCCTAAATTTTTTGAAATCATATTAATTTGCTATCTACTGTCACATTTAAACAAAAAAAGTTTTTTTAAAAAATTACATTTTAATCCCAAATTTTAAATTATAGATTCAAACTCACTCTCTCTTATCCAAAATCACCCTCTCTCCTTTCTACACCTCTACAATTCCATCGACCATAGGGATGACAATTTGAACCCGGCCCGACGGAGACCTAGTCCTCCAACCCTGATTGGAATGGTTTTTTCCTGAAAAATACCCCTAACGGGTCGGGGATGATATTTGAAAATGAATCCCCGAAACATTTCGAGGCGGGGATAGTGATACGTTTCCCAACCTAGGCCCCGGGTACCCGTACCCATACTTCATAATAGGGATGGCAATTTTAACCTGGCCTGACGAGGATCTAGCCCCCCGATTCTAATTAGAACGGTTTTTTCCCGAAAAATACCCCCAACGGTCCGGAGATGGTATTCGAAAATGCATCCCCGATAATGTTCGGGCCGAGGACGGTGATACGTTCCCCAGCCCCAGCCCCGACCCCATTCCCTGAACTGAAATTACTATTATACCTATATATATATATATATATATATAAACCAAACCCTAAAACACATAACATCATATTGCCTCTCATCTCTCTCAGTTTCTCTTTCTCTTTCTTTGCAGCTTCTTTCCCTTCCCTCTCTCACTCGCTGCTCCACCATCGCCTCCGCCATTTGACGACGAGAGTCGATCGTAGCTCCTCTCCCCTCCCTCTCTCATCGTTGCTCCACGACCGCCTCTGCCATTCCACTACCGCCTCTGCCATTTGACAATGAGAGTCGAGCTCAAATCTAGAAGATCTGGTTGTGGCAGTCAGAGATCGAGGACGTCATCCTTTCATCCTCACCCCCCTTCATCCCTCACAACTCACCTTCATTTCTCTGGTGTATAGTTGTGTTGTTGTTGATGATCCTCGGATCTAAAGCTGAATATATATGTTAAATCTGTTGAATATTAAATCTATTGTTGTTAAATCTATTGTTAAATCTGTTGTGTTGTTGTTGTTGAATATTAAATCTATTGTCGTTAAATCTATTGAATATTGAATCTGTTGTTGAATAGCAGATATGGAGCTGAATTTTTTATTTAATTTTTTTGGCCAGGGAATTTTCGGGGTTGGAGAAACCCGATCTCGTTAGGAGGCAGGGCAGGAGTGGTGATAAGTTTCCCGTCAGGGATCGAGAATGGGAAGTGTGATCCCCGACTCCATCCTGAGCCATTGCCATTCCTAACTGGCTACCACCACTGGCGGCTAGCCCTCTACCTCTGGAAAAACAAGTGTACTTTAACAACAAAAACCACTACTACAATCAATCCTCACTCAATTTTTCCATAAAAACTTTTCACTCCAACAAGCGCTCTCTCTCTCTCTCTTTCAAGTTCTCATCTCTCTCACTTCTCTCATCAGCCTATATTTACCCAACAAGTACTTCATCAACTGCGACTCAAACTCCGACGTCTCAGTCACCAGTGCCCCCTTGGAACTTCATCTCTGACAAGAATTCCGACTTCTTTTCCCTCGTCTAAAAAACCACCGCTGCCAAAACTTCATCCTCACTCAATTTGTGTTCTTGTTGTTGTAGTGGAATTATAAAATATTTTTGATTGAGATTAGTCAATTATAAAGAGGTTAGGTATGCTGTGGCATACCTAATGGCAGAACAGTAAATTCTAGTACCCAAACCAAGGATTTGAATGGTTGTCCTTCTGTGAGTGAAATGGAGCTATCTGAGGACTATACATGTGTGATCTCTTAGGGGCTTAATCCAATAACAACCCGTATATATGAAAACATCGTTGTGGAGAGTTATTGTGGTGTTGTTAAGGTATCTGAGTTGAATTTGTGGCAGTGGTTTTTGTTGTTATGGTACACTTATTTTTGCAGTGACAGAGGGAGGAAGAGGGCTAGCCGCCAGCAGTAGTGGCTGAAAGAGTTGTAAAGATGGGTGGGAGAGTGAGTTTGAATCTACAATTAGAAATTTGGAGTCAAAATGTAATTTTTTACAATTTTTTTTTTCGTTTAGATATGATGGTAGAAAGTAAATTGATACAATTTCAAAAATGGTAAAATTAAAATTATTTGAAGTCTAGGGTATAATTGATCATTAAGAAAAAGTTTTGAGGGGGTAAAATAAATTTTTTAAAAAAGAGCGAGTAATTTGTCTTCATATTGGTTATTTTTTATTTTTAACATATTTATTAAAATAAATACATTTATTATTTTAACATATTTTGAATTTACACAAAATACTTTGTAGTTAACATTTTTTTATTTTTCTCGCACAAAATTAATTATTATTATTTATAATTTAACAATTTTTGTGGGTCAAATCTAGAAAGAAAAAAGAATCAAATTTTATGAGTAATTAAATAAATAAAAATGCCATTAATTATTCCTTAATAGTGTCCTGCATCACACCATTCTCGAGCGCAAAATTGTTCAAGGTGCAATCCATTGTAACTTAAACATCAATTCTTAATCATTTTAAATATAGTAAATGTACTATTCATTCCCTTAATCTTAGTTATTTTTTAGAAATAAAATAAATTATAAATATACTTAGGTTTGGTTAAAATATAAATAATCTCATATAATTTTAGAAATTATAAATATACCTACTTAGAATTTCTCATTTAAAATAATTGATGAAAAAAATTAAATTTCTAACTACCATCTTAACCAACAATACAATTATTAGAGATCTTAACCAACAATACAATTATTTTAGGTATTAATTGAAATATATTATTAATATTATTAAAAATTATTAATTAACTTAACAATTAATTAATAATAAAAATTATTTTTATCCAATTAAAAATTTTAAGAAATGAGATATAATTTTTAAAATTACAATAAACAATTAATATTATAAATAAATATTAAAGAGTGTATTTATATTTTATTAAAAAAAATTATCAACTCAAATAAATCGGCATAATTTTAAAAACTAAAAATAAAATTGATACAAATAAATTGCCAAAATCAAACTAGCACAAAAGGGGCAAATTACAAATTACTAGTCCAATTTTCCCAAATCAAAATTTACATACCCATCTTGTGCTGAGAAAGCACCCATTGGCCATTCTCAAACTCCTGATGAAGCCTCAAAGCAGAGACTGGGTAATCAAACTCATCCCCTGAACAATCAAAGTACACACTGTACTTTCCATCACTTTTCCTCCCAGTAACTCTCCCAACCCACCACCCATCTAGATCATACGCATCCACCTTGTCCAGCACATTGAAGCTCAAAACCCTAATCTGTGGAGGCACAGGCCTCACATTCGAAGCTGCAATCACCTCCTTCAATGGCCCTTTCTGGTTATCAGATAGCAATGTTGAGTACTCTACCATGAACTTTGATTTTCCCACTCTGGAGATGACCTTGGCTGCATAGTATGAACCCAGAAACCCATCTTCGTCGCTGCAGATTTCGACATAGCTGCCCACGAAAGAATCCATTTTTTTTCTGGGTTTTGTTGATTGATTGTTGGTTGGGTCTTTTGAGAGTGTTCGGTTCATGGGAAAGTGTGAGAAAATCGTGTAGGAAACTGATTTGTGGGTTTTCTTGATTGATTCTTGGTTGGATCCTCTTTGAATGATAATGGGTTTTTTAATACCCTCTTTATTAGAGTTGAATGTTAATGAATTTTTTAATTGAAGAAGGTGTTCTGTATACCTCTTTATTAGAGTTTGACACTCAATTAATTTATTAGAAGAGTTTAGTTTGACTCAATTAGTTTATTAGAAGAGTTTAGTTTGATTTGGTGTGAGTTATGATATATTTTAATATATTATATCTAATTTTGAGAAGTCTAATAGTTCAATAATAATCAGTTTAGCACAATTAAGATTTGGATAAAAAGTTTAAGAATTCACAATATAAATATTGGTATTGTCTTGTTTTTCCCAAGAAAAAAATCAGAGTGACTACGGCTGTCACATACATTAATTCGATGGGTAGCTTTTTCAATTGTTTGATCTTGGGAAGATATCGGTGGCTACTATAATTTTGGTTCATGCTTTTCGGTAGTGCTGTGGTGTGCATTTAAGTTTGGTGGCACTGATTTGTTCAAGCTTCTAAAATTTCTTTATTTCGTTCGTGGTTGTTTCGAAGCTCTGTTTCAGAGCATCTTTGGCTGGTTTAGTAAAGTTGATTTGGGTCTATTATTTTGGGTCTTTTACAATTATGTTTTAAAGGTTTTTGTTTATTTATTTAGTGAGATCTTTTCTCTTTGTTTATTTGTGATTATTTGGAATTCACCTAAGAGTGATTTTATGAGACTATTCGTGTTTGATTTGTAATCATTTAAAAACTCTTTGGTTGATAGTGGAATCAAATTTCGATCCTGTAGACGTACCTCACATGAGGGAACCACGTAAAAATTCTTATGTTGCTATTAATTTAAAGTTTTTATTCCCATTGATTGATTTACTTGTGAAAAATCATATATTTTCCCTAACAGCTGGTATCAGAGCTTACGGTTTATTTGAATTTATTTATTTGTGTAAATCAATGGAATGAGATGTGGGTCGCATGTCTAACTTCAATGGAAACAATTGAGTAACTTGGAAAATTAAAATGGATGACATATTATTTTGTAAAGAATTTGTATGGGCCTATTGAAGATGATCGTGGAAACCTGATGATATGAAAGATGATGAATAGAAGAGGCTTAATCGAAAAGTCGTTGGTGTTATCCGTCAATGGATTGATGATAGTGTGTTTCATCATGTTGCTATTGAAACTTCAGTACATGATTTATGGAAAAAAATTAGAAAGCCTTTATGACAAGAAATCAGCCACAAATAAAACTTTTCTGTTTCGTAAGTTGGTTAATTTAAAATATAAAGAGGGCAGCCCTATTCCGAAACATTTGAATGAAATAAAGAGTATTGTTAACCAACTTGCTTCTATGAAAATTGTTTTTGATGATGAATTGCAGTCTTTGATGCTACTTAGTTCTTTACCCGAAAGTTGGGAGACTTTAATTGTGACAGTTAGTAATTTGACGCCCAATAAAGTTGTCACAATGGGCCAAGTCACTAGTAGCTTGTTGAATGAAGAAATTAGAAGAAAATCAGTGGGTTTCTCTCATTCGGAAGCATTTGTTGTGAAAGGCTGAAGCAAAACAAGTGGGAGGAGTAAGACTCCTCATGGTCGTGATCAAAGTCATGACAAATCAAGAGATGATTCTTTTTCAAAGAAAGACATTGAGTGCTATTATATTATTGCCATGAGAAAGGGCACATGAAGCGAGAATGCCGAAAACTCAAGAACAAGGAGAAAATGCATGACAAAAGTGGATAAGAAACAAGAAAACACAATGGCGGTTACTACCAATGGTGATCTCATGGTCATTTGTGAAAATGATTGTATCGATTTTGTGGGCCAATAGAGCAATTGGGTGATTGATTCTGGTGCTTCTTTTCATGTGACTTCTTGAGTTGATTTCTTCACTACCTACATCAAAGGAGATTATGGTTTTGTTCGAATGGGTAATGAAGGTTTGTCCAAGATTATTGGCATAGGTGATGTTTGCTTGGAAACAAATTTGGGCTGCAAGTTGTTTCTTAAAGATGTGAGGCATGTTCCCGACATTCACCTCAATTTGATCTCTACCAGGAAGCTAGATGATAAAGGTTACAACAACAAATTTGGTAATGGAATATGGAATCTCACAAAAGATTCTTTGGTGGTGGCTAAGTGCAAGAAGACTTATACACTTTATTCGATGCAAGAAAAAATTTGTAAAGGTATTGTCAATGTACTTGAAGATAATACTTCTACCAAATTATGGCACAAGCGGCTTGGGCACATGAGTGAAAAAGGACTACAAGTTTTGTTCAAGAAAGAGCTTCTACTCGGTTTGAAAGGTACACATCTTAAAACTTGTGTTCATTGTTTGACGGGTAAACAACATAGAGTTTCTTTTCATAAAAATGTTGCTTCTAGAAAAGAAAATATTTTAGAGTTGATTCATTCGGATGTTTGTGGTCCTTTAAAAGTTAGAACACATGGTGGTGTACTTTATTTTGTTACTTTCATTGATGATTATTCAAGGAAAGTTTGGGCTTTTATATTAAAAACTAAATATCAAGTTCTAGATGTATTTAAGCATTTTCAGGCCATGGTTGAAAGAGAAACATGGTAGAAATTGAAGTGCATCCGATAAGACAATGGTAGTGAATACATTGGGCCATTTGATGAGTATTGTCGCAGCCAAGGTATTCGGTACCAAAAGACAGTTAAGAAGACTCCTCAACAAAATAGCGTTGTCGAGAGGATGAACTGCACACCATTGTGGAAAGAACAAGGTGTCTGCTTTCACATGCTAAATTGCTAAGATCCTTTTGGGGTGAGGCAATGAGGACAGCGGTTGACGTGATCAATTTGTCTCCTTCTTATCCTTTGAATGGTGATGTTCTTGAAAGAGTTTGGATCGGTAAAGATGTGTCTTATGAGCACTTGAGAGTGTTTGGTTGTCGAGCCTTTGTTCACATTCCAAAAAGATTAGAGGTCCAAGCTTGGTAGCAAGTCAAGACAATGTATTTTTCTTGGCTGTGGGCTTGATGTATTTAAGCATTTTCAGGCCATGGTTGAAAGAGAAACATGGTAGAAATTGAAGTGCATCCGATAAGACAATGGTAGTGAATACATTGGGCCATTTGATGAGTATTATCGCAGCCAAGGTATTCGGTACCAAAAGACAGTTAAGAAGACTCCTCAACAAAATAGCGTTGCCGAGAGAATGAACTGCACACCATTGTGGAAAGAACAAGGTGTCTGCTTTCACATGCTAAATTGCTAAGATCCTTTTGGGGTGAGGAAATAAGGACAACGGTTGACGTGATCAATTTGTCTCCTTCTTATCCTTTGAATGTTGATGTTCTTGAAAGAGTTTGGATCGGTAAAGATGTGTCTTATGAGCACTTGAGAGTGTTTGGTTGTCGAGCCTTTGTTCACATTCCAAAAAGATTAGAGATCCAAGCTTGATAGCAAGTCAAGACAATGTATTTTTCTTGGCTGTGGGCTTGATGAATTTGGTTATAGATTATGGGATCCGGTCGACAAGAAAGTCATTCGAAGCCGTAATGTTGTGTTTCTTGAAGACCAAACAATTACAGACTTTGGCAAAGGTGATCAACCGGAGCCAAAAAGTAGTGATCTTATTGACATGAATCCATCTCCTTTATCTTCGGTGGATGATGAAAATGGGGAAGATGTGCAACCACCTACTGAAGATGCAGAGGACGATACTAATCCTAATAAACTTGAGCTAGAAATTAAGGAAGAGCATCCAACTCAAGAACCACTACCACCATAATTTGAGTTGAGAAAATCTGCAAGGGACCGACAACCTTCAATAAATTATCCTCCCAATGAATTTGTGTTGATTTTCGATCAAGGGGAGCCTGAGAGCTACCAAGAAGAAATTGAGCATGCAAAGAAAGATGATTGAAAAAAGGCCATGGAAGAGGAGATGAATTCCTTACTTGAAAATTACACTTATGATTTAGTAAAGTTGCCTAAAGGGAGGAAAACTTTGAAAAATAAGTGGGTCTTCAAATTGAAGAATGATGGCAAGAATCTGAGGTACAAAGCACGTCTTGTTGTGAAAGACTTTGGACAAAAGAAAAGTATTGACTTTGATGAAATTTGTCTTCTATTTGGGTTGTATTTGACATGGCCGCAAGTATGAACCTTAAAATTGAGCAACTTGATGTGAAGATCGCATTTCTTTATAATGACCTTAAAAAAGAAATTTACATGGAGCAACCGGAAGGTTTTGTAGAGAAAGGAAAAGAGAAATTTGTTTGTAAATTGAAGAAAAATTTGTATGGCCTCAAGCAAGCCTCGTGGTAATGGTACAAAAAATTTGACTATTTCATGATGAATAATGGTTTTTCTAAAACCATTTCGGACCATTGTGTATTTGTGAAATTTTTTTCAGATGGCAAATTTATTATTCTTTTGCTTTATGTTGATGACATGTTAATTGTGGGTCAAGATTCTACCATGATTAATAATTTGAAATTGGAGTTGAGTAAGTCTTTTGCTATGAAAGATTTGAGACCGACAAAGCAAATACTTGGTATGAAAATTGTTTGTGATCTCAATGAGGGACTGATTTGGTTATCTCAAGAAAGCTACATTGAGAAAGTTTTTGAGAGGTTCAACATGGATAAAGCAAAGCCGGTTGGTTGTCCGCTTGCGAGTCACTGCAAGCTTAGTTCGAATCAATGTCCTACAAGTGAGAAAGATAAGGAAGAGATGCTAAAAATTCCCTATGCTTCAGCGGTTGGTTCTTTGATGTACGCCATGGTTTGTACAAAGCCAAATATTGCTAATTTCGTTGGTGTGGTGAGTCGTTTTCTCTTTAATCTGGGTAATGAACATTGGGCAGCGGTAAAATGGATTATAAGATATCTTCAAGGGACTTCGAAGGTGTGTTTGTGCT